GCCAAACAGATCAATCGACTACCCAGGCATAGGGCCATCTGTTCCACCAAGGTGTAAACCACTCCTGAACATTCCCGCTTTGCAGGATTTACGCTAGGGTCACCCTTTCTGGATGAAAGTCTTACTGAAAAGTCTCCTTCCAAGACTCTAACTTTTAAACTCCGAACCGACACTTCAGATACAATCCTTTCCAAGGGCCTCATCATCTCCTCCAGAACCATCTGCGGGGATGCTGCGGTGGTTTGCCAAATATCGCGCGCCTCGTAGTTGCTGCCAATGTCGTGGATTACCACCTTTCGGGGAAGCCGCTGCTTTCTGAGTTACAGTCCCACAAACAGATACATATGCACATACATACATATGTATATAGAGAATGTACGTATGTATGTACGTATGTATCCATGTATGTATGTCCTACGGCACTTCGACAACGATGCCTATGATCCGCTGTTCTCCTTATCCGTCCAACCCGTCCGCCGGTCCCTCCAAACCACCAAAGACTTCCCAGCCTTTTCTGCTCCGGCAGTCTGCTGGTACCGCAGCAGCTGGCCCACGACTCGTCTGCCTTGGAGATCCCTTCAGCACGAACACGTTTATGAAGGCAATTTCATGAACCTCCTAACCCGGAAGCCTTCAGCCCCTCAGCTAAGAAATGGCGGTTCCGAAGAACAGACCAGGGAGCGCCACGGCTTGTCATTCGAGCCGAACCAGTATGCAAAGACCTCAGTTGGCTTGGGGTTAGCTTAGGATCTAGATTACGCGCGGGCACTACCCGGCGGCGTCTCTTACTTTTTTGCATCGGGCCTTTACCACCGCCCTAAACCCTAAACCGCCTTTTTTTTGAACCGCCTTAAACCCCAAACCCTATTGAGGTATTCTTCAGCTCCCAGGCACATGTCGGAGCGGCTCCCGTCCTGCGACCTCCTGGAGCTCCAGCTTCCCACCAGGCTGCAGGTCTGGATCCAAGTTCGGGCTGGGCACCACCTGGGCTTTAAATCAGGCTACTCTAGATTACATAAATATATATATATATATATATATATATATATTTATATTTATACTGACTGAACTTGTAATAGGAAAACACAAGTATGAAATATATGTAGAACGAGAGCGAGAAAAAGGCACAGAAATTGAGAGATCGTTAGGTAGAGAGCGATAAACAGAGAGGCATAGATACATGGACAGGCGAAGAACTTTCGGAAAGAGCAAAAGAGTCAGGAAGGCGTTGCGAACTGGGGCAGTTGTGGGTGCCCGACACATAATCCCAGGGGCGATGTGTCCTCCGCAGAAGGAAGCTCCCAAAGAGATAAGCAAAGGTTGGCCTTGGATTTCCACAGGCAGGTCCTTGATGTCCCCTGTTGCGAGAAAGAGGTGGCGTGCACGCGTCCGCCAGGAATAGTGCTGCAAGGACTCGAAGAGATGCCTCCGTAGAACATTTACTACGCTATCGGATGCTGCAGAGTGAGTCGATACTTGTGGCTGCGTGTGCAAATACATGTGTATGTGTATGTGTGTATATATATATAGTGTGTAAAACTCTATGAATATGTGGAGAGAGGGAGAGAGAGAGATGAGAGAGAGAGAGAGAGAACAGAAACCGAAAAGGAGTCTAGTAGGGCACCGTCCTAGCTTGAGGCTATAGATCCCCAGCATTGTTTTAGACGAACCCCCAGCATAATGTCATCTGCAGCCGCAGGTGCTTCACTGCTGTTGAGCAGCGACACTTCCCCCAGCAGGGATCCCGTCCTGCATTGCCACTCTCAGCACAATCGGTTTTCGCCAAATAGGGCACCACGAAAAGGTCTGCTTTAGTGGGATCCTCCGTGAGCACACCGTCGGGTGCAGCCAGGAATTTCAGTAAGACCAAAGCCTCTGTGGCAAATTGTCGGTACACCGAAAACAAGCTGTTCCAGCGCGCTTCCGTGCAAGGCGTCAGCCCATAGTCACACTCGCTTCCGGACGTCCAGCCACCTAGCTGTAGCCGATTCAGTATGTCGGCATTGAAGATGCGGCCAAGTGGGTACACATAGACTTGCAACTTGCGCTGTTGACCACCATCGAGTACCCAAAAGTCGCTGTCATGGACTTTCACTGATGGACCATCACAGAGAAGTGGTCCAAAAAACTGCTGAGTGTACCACTGCCCAAGTTCCTGGGCCACGTGGAAACGACATGTCTTTGTTTTGCTGGCTTGCTGCTAGGTTGTTACCCAAGTGCGGACACCTCGCAACCAACAAGGGATACTACCTGAGGAGCCATGCCTGTGCAGAAGGATTTTCGCATCGACAGCACTTCTCGAAGGTCAGCCCGGCATTATCGAAGCAATGTTCTGGAGAAGGGATTCCCTGCAGCGCACGGAACTGTGTTAACCCTTAACACCTGAACAGCTCGAGGATCGGAATGCTTCAAAGCACACTTCTCGGAACTCCAGTCCAAAGTCCCACCTTGGGCTAGCTCGTCGTGTCCCCTCAAAGGGCGCCCATGCCGCTGCTAATAGTAACTTCATATTCGGTTGAGGATAACAAAAAACCTCACAGGCTTGGTTGGTTGTCGGGGGTTGAAGGTTCTCAATTTGGTGGCAGCGGTAGCTTGAAGCTTGTGGGGCGGTGGGGGGAGCACCACCCCAGCCCCCTCCCTGTTCCTGAGGCCACCACCACCACCACCACCACCACCACCCCCACCCCAACTGCTGCTGCTACCACCACGACCACTACCACTACCACCACCACGACGACTACTACTACTACTACTACTACTACTACTACTACTACTACTACTACTAACACTACCACAGAGCCTCCAACCGAAAGGTACACTTCACCATCAACAACCAAATCGGGCATGAAAAGGATCTGGAAGCGAAGCCAATCGCCTAACATGCCGAGATAAGTTACGACCTGGTATGTAGTACTCCTCTTCTTGGAATTACTTCGCTACTGACTGCCAACTGCTACTGTACCAGTACTGTACTGCCACAGTACTACTCGACTGGATTGTACTACTACTGTACTGCGACGCATGACCCCTCCCAACCCTTCTAAAGAGCATATCACCCCCCACACGCTTGTACAAAGCCAATCTCTCTCTCTCTCTCTCTCTCTCTCTCTCTCTCTATACAGGCTCCAGACCGCTCCACTCACACACCTTTCCCCAGTACCGGGTCAGGTCCGGAGCAGTGCCGGTAATGGCTTCACTTTTCAGGTGCCGGAAAATGTCTGGAGTCGCGGGCCCACTCTAAACACAGTGCCCCGCGCTATAAACGTTAAAGGCTTGGGGCTCAGGGTCTACATGTTTGAAAGCTCTATAAAGAAGCGGAAAGCCTCCTGACAGCAAAGGCCGTAGTGCGCGGAGAAGTCCGGCCAACAGTTCCGCTCCAGTAGCTGCCAGGCCTCGTCATCGGTGGGTTTTGGGTAAAGGCTTTTGTAAGGGTTCTACATTACAAAAGCTTAATAAAGCTGCTACAAGTAGAAGGATTTTATGTGGCATCAGTGGTGCGACTTGAGCCTCTTCTTTCTGCTGAAGTACCTTTAAGAACCTTGATTTCCAAGAGTGTCAAGGCAAGGATTCAAGGGGGCTTGGGGTTAGGGATTCAGCGTATCGAGGTGCTCTAGGGTTTTGCCTCCAAACCTGCAACCTTAAACCCTGAAGCCTAAGCCAGAGAGTCTGGGCTGAAGCTGGGATTAGGGGTTAGGCTTTAGGGATTTAGGGGTTCAAGGTTTCTGTTTGCCTCCTGCATGGTTAGTTTTGGGGTTCGGTCTTGCAAGTCCAGACGGCGGACAGATGCGCTCTGACTAAGATCATCCTTGAACCACCCCAAGAGTTCCAAGCCGTGAACCCATTACCATGGGACGAACCGACATGTTTGAGCACGAGTCGTCCTCTGAACAAGAACCACAACCAAAGGGGTATCAGTCAGAACACTACCACCATGACCGTAGCCAGAACAACAACGACCGTAATCAGCTGCTCATCAAGTACCCTTCTCATGGAAACACCAGACCAAGTCAAATTGCCAACAATGCATGCCTTTCCAAAAGACCCTGCCTGTACGAGACACAGGCCCGCGAACAGCACAGCGGAGCGTAAAAACGGCGCCATGGGAGTGGGGGTCGTTGCTGATGGTGCAAACCAACATGAGAAGTCGTGCTCTGTAATGGGAACAGTGCTCGGCTGTTTTTAGCCTGCAGCCTGCAGTGTGATAAGCGTTGCGGGTTTACCAGCTAGCCTGGGCTTTTGGGTGTTTTGTGAAACAGGCAAGATCTAGGATTTAACGTTGAAGGATTTTCGGGTTTTTACTCTCGCATAGCTGGGCTTTAGGTCTTGGGGTTCAGGCTTCTGTGTGGTGTTTGGATTCGAGGGTCTCAAGCTAAAAACCGTCAAGAGGGTGCCGGGATCAGGCCTCATCCACACCTCTTAGGGTTCAGGCTTTAGGGGCAGTAGGTTGTAGATCTGGGGTTCAGGGACGGGGATGACGCGGAGTTGAACCAAGCTTCACCCCTAAGACGCCCAAAATTCCGGGAGACATAAACCCCGAACCCGTACGGAGTTGGCTAGAAGGGTGCAACAATCAGCCACCCTGTGGAAGAGTTTGGGCCGTCGAAGTTTCCATTGCAAAACAACGAAAAAATCTCAAACCAGGAGCCCGTAGAAAGCTGAGGCCCGCCCTCCCGAAAAAAACAGAAATCTGCAGCAACACTCATATTTTTGCACTTTACTGCAAAGCCGCCAACCCTGAAAACTGTAAAAAAACCCGAGTCTCCAAAAACTCCAAGAAGCCGCATAGCCTCGTGGGTCCCGCAAAAGTCCTTCACAGCTCCCCACAAAACTGGCAAAGCCCTGAACTCCCAACTCCAGACACAAGCCCAAAATCCAAAACTAGGTGGGGCTTTTAAAGCTCCTGAAAAATATTAATAAATAAGATCCTCTTAAACCCAATAAGGGAAAATATAAAATGTCCCAAAGCCCTACCTAGAAAACCCCCACTCCAGGCGCTGAACAAATTGTCGGCTTCTGCAACTGCTCCGGGGCCGAGGCGCCTGCAAGAAACGTGGAATTCTCATTCTCTGTGGGTGTGTGCTTTAGGGTTTAGGGTTTAGGGATGCTCCGCGCACACCACCACGCGAGACGTGTGTTGTGGTGTGCGCCTAGGTTCAACGCTCTCGCCCTACCCGCCCACCCAGTCTATGACCTTTGTCGGGTTTAAGGTTTTTTCAAGGTTTGTGGCTTGGTCTGGCGGTGGCCCAAAATCAGGGCAAGCAGGGCAGAGGCAGGGCAAGCAGGGCAGGCAGGGAGGGCAGGGAAGGGCAGGGCAGGGCAGGCAGGCAGGGGGGCAGGGCAGGGCAGGGCAGGGCAGGGCAGGGCAGGGCAGCGAAAGCGGGGCAGGGCAGGGCAGGGCGAGGGTCGGGAGAGGGCAGGGGTAAGCCAGGGCCACAGGGGCCAAGACCAGGCGCAGGGCCAGGACCAGGCAGGGCCAGGCGGACACCAACCTCCCAGATTGGAGGTTTAGGGTCATATCGTTCTTCTGCTTGGCTAGCATGCCTGTCGCATGCGCCAGCACCTGAGCCGGTGCTGGGGTTCCTCCGCTGCGCCTGTCGCACCAGCTCCGGAGCCAGCCTCACTGACGCTTGGCACGCTCGCTGCTGCTGTTCGCAGCGCCCGCAGCTCGCTTCAGTTTAGGGTTTAGGGGTTCTTTTTCGGGGCAGGCTTTAAGGGCTTTAGGCCTGGGGTTCTGATGATAGCTATGTCGGCTTTTCGACACTCGGACTAGCCAGGCAAGGTCTGAGGGCTTTGGCTTGTTGGATTCCTGGGGTGTGTTTTGTGCTCTTACACTTCTGCCAAAAAGACTTGGTATTCAGTGTGTCTTTTTTGCTGCGGGCTTGCGAGTTTACCTGCCATTGGCGATCGGAGTTTGAGGGGGTTTGGCGCCCTGGGGCTTCTAGGGGCCCTGGGCCTTCGAATTTGTCATAGGATTACGGTTACGGGTGCCTTGAAACTTTCGGTGTGTTCAGGAAATCCGGGGTGCTGCGGGGATTCATCGGTATTGAGGGCCTCAAGGGGATTTGGGAGTCAGTTCCAGCTGCGGCAAAGCAATGATTTGGGAGTTTCCGAAATTAGGGGTACCTTATTTTGGGGTCCCTATATAGTAAGGACCCTACTATTTAGGGTATTATATTAGAGTCCCTTATTTTCGGAAGCCCCCATTTAAGTCAAACCGGCTTTCGCATTTAGCGGGTTTGACGACTGGCTTGCAGGGCTCTACTGGGATGCTTGACGGGCGTTTGGAGTATGTTGCGCCCGTCATACTGGTGTTCTCAATGCTCTCAGGGTGCTGAATGGGGTTTAAGCTGTTATGGCTGTTTAGAAGACACGCAGAGCAGGAACAACAGTTGAACATGCCGAAACCCAAGTCCCTGTTGGCATCATCTGCCCACACTGTGCCTCAGCCCATGTCGCTGAACCTCACCGACAACGTCAGGCCAGTGGGAAGGGCTGTTGGATTGCTTGCTTTGAGGTGCGGGAGCCTCCAGCTAGTAACAGCTAGTACTACTGAGGCCGTCGACCGTCTACAGTAAGGTGCTGCTGGGGTGGTTCGGGTCTGTCAGAGACGGCCGTAGACAAACCCTGAACCTGACAAAAAGAGCATACGCACCTCCCTGCATGTCCCTGCATGCATTTACGGGACATTAATACGCGGATCCAACTCCTTCGGATCTCCGTGCGTAAGTCTCTGAGTCTCCTGCATGCCGAGTACCCCCAACACCCAGAGTTGCTAGAACTCTAAGCCCCAAGCCCTTAAGCCTCAAGCTACCCTGAATCGCGATCTTCCCCCGACAACCCGTGGGCAAGATTACATCCATGGTGCCTAACCAGCAAGAGCTAGGAACAGGTGCATAGCGGGGCTGTCCTGCTGAGACGGCGGGATACCTTAAAGAAAGTACCTTAAGTGATTTGTTTACTGTAAACAGGACCTGCCCTCTTATGTTTGGCCCAATCACCTGGGGGCTGTTGGAGAATGGACGCCTGTTGAGGATGTCAGGGTCTAAGGATTTTGAGTTGGTTCTCAAGATAGGCTCAGATCACCTTTTCTAAAGATCACATGCCGCGGCTGGGTGGCACAAATTTCATGCCTGGCCTTGCCTTCGGCAAGGTTGCCCCCTGAGAAAAACGGGCTTGACTTCAGCTCCGTGATGGATTACGGGCTTTAAGTTTAGAGCCTAGGGTTCAGGATGTTTGGATACTGCGGAAGGTGCAGGCAAGTTTGGAATTGGTGTGTAGGATTTTTTGTTGAGCGAGTCTGTCTCCGACCTTAATTTGTAGCTCCCGCAGCATGCGCAAAGAACTGCCAGACAGGCCCGAGGTGGCTGGTATTGCTGCGAGATGCAGAACATCTCGGACGACATGCGCAGTGGAGTTTGGGTAGTGAAGCCAAAATCTTGGTCAAGACATCAAAGCCATGGCGCTGCTGAAAACCATCTGAACATAGACAGACACATTGCCCCTCGGATGTCCTCGGATTCCTTGTCTAAGCGAGCCGCTTCCACAACAAAACCCAACACAAACGATGTAGGTTCAGAGCTATAACTCCGAGACTTACGAAGTCTGATTCTCTCCTTCGACCTGGGAACGGCTGAATGTATTTCCGATACGGACTGTTCTCGGATTCGTGCATCGCGCCACGAACCGTTTATCCCCACCTAAAACTTTCCCAGAGCCCTACATCTTATACAAGGAAACCCCTACCCCCACAACCCGTGAAACCTTTTCACACCCGAGCCTTCAGGCCCGTGGCCCAAACCTTCCTGATGGGTTACGGGAGTTCAGAGTTTTGAAAAGCTCACCACCGCACATGGCAAGAACTATGCTCGGCTTCAGGGATATACTACCTACTACTTTTTCACATAATACATACATCTTAGTATTTATCATGCTTTTGGGCTTAAGAGAGAAATGCCTCTTGCTGAGACGCCCCCATTCACTGTAGTCTTGCTCCAAGATCTCTTCAGCAAGTCCCAGAAAAGTCTGTTTTCCAGATAATGCCCTGGGCACTCGTTGTTTCTGCGCACATATCTGGAACATGAGTTCGTCTTTCCAATGGAGCCGCGTGTTTGGGGGTCCGGTAGACCCAGTCCTAGTTTTGACATTAGGCCAACAAGTATGCTGCTACTGCCCAAACCCAAATCTCATCATGGGGTCTTCGACTCCCGCTGACTCTGGGACATACCGCACTCAGCGCTCCGCCGCGCTCATTACAAAGCCAGGTCTTCTCCATTTCTTAGCAGGCGGAGACGACTTCTACAAAGCACTGGTCTTCCTTACAACTACCCCATCACACTTCTATCCAACCTCCATGAGCATCACGATTCTAACCGCCACCGTCAACACCAGCACCATCACAATCACCAACATCATCGTCCTCAGCAACCTGGGCATGGACACCACCATCGATGTCAACTATTGGAATCACCGACATCAACACTGATTTGGGTTAGTAGAACAGCGTTGACAAAACTTACGAGGACACCCTCTCCCAAGAAGGACAGTACAGTCATCACCACAATCAGCATGAAACAGGCAAGACGGTCACGACTATAATCAGCATCAAACAGGCAAGGAAAAAGTCCAGCTCGTTCGCAGCTTCTGAAGCATGCTGGTGATGACGATGATGACACAGATGATAAATGCACTGGCAATTTGCAAAAGATATGATCATCCCCGCCTGTCATCTTCAGCCTCAGCTTCATCATCCTCATCACTGCCACTCAGCGTCATGACCAACTTCAGCAACGATGATCCTCTGTGTTGCAGAAAATCATGTCTAGCCAATGCCCCCAAAGCGCCCTGACCAATTCCATAATTAGGACATTGCCTGTACCCCTGTTACTACCTGTTACGTGAATCTCGCCCTCATTATTGATTTCTGCATTCTTGCTTGCTCCTGGATCTTTTATAGTCATAGAAGCCGAATGACTTGCGTAATTATCTGTATCAGTCCATCGCTTTGCCGTTGCGATGGAGACAAGTGGAATATCTTGAATGAACTTCTTAACTCTACACAAGTACCCTGAACCACCATAATCTCGACACGCTGGCTCTGGCAACGAAATGTCTGCGTGCGTGTGTACACATTTACGCATCACGTGCGCAAATCTAACACCCCCACACTCACACCCGCACCCCATGTTTACATATACTCATAGTGCACATGCATACACATACGCATGCATATCTAAATAAAAATGTGCGCATGCACATGCATACATGGACACAGAAGCTGCATGCACGCATGCATGCATGCAAGCCCACATACATACGTACATACATTCATGTACATGCCCAACCATAGACATGTGTGCGCAAACACGTGCGTACAAAATACATCTGTACGTCGATTTCATTACATGCCTGTGTCAATGCGTATATTTCCTCTTCATATATAGATGTACACACACACATATATATATATACACACAAATGTAATATTCAAATATATATATATATATATATATGCATAAAGAGATTAGATAGATAGATACATCGACAGATACATACACAAATAGATAGGCTCGCAGCGGCTTGTAGGTAGGTAAGGTAGGCAGGCAGGCAGGTAGGTAGAGAGATATGTGTGTGTGTATATATCTATATATATATATATATATATATGTTATTTACACACATACATACACACATGTACGTAAGTGAGTGTGTAATTATGTCTGTCTGTATGTATGTAGGCACGTATGTATATGTATCTACATGTATATGCGTACATTGCGTATATATTGAAAACAAAACGGAACTCAAGAAAACCATGCGCAGAGGCTGGCAGTACTGTCCGTGTACTGCTGCGTATAATTACGAGTCAATCCCTGCTCCCAACAAACCTGTTGTGGCGCATCGGCTGTTCACTTCTGTGCCCTTGAACTGCTCATGTCCCCGCACCCTCTCCAGCATCTTTCGTGTTGCTGTCAAAGCTCAGACTTGAGCCCTTGGGTCTCCGAGTTGAGGGGCAGCAGTGCCGGCTTCATTATCGACGGCCTTTGAACCTTCCAAGTACTACTACGTAAGAAAAAAACTGCATCCAAAACACATGGTGGTCCAGCAACGCCAGCAAGAAGTCACCTGCAGCGACTTGGTCTCAGAACAAGCTCTCACACCACCCGAGCAGAAGCTGGAGCAAAGCGCTGGGTGCTCAAGGGGGGCATGGGGTTTTAGGGTCAGTCGAGGGGTCTCTGCCTTTCTCTCTCTCTCTCTCTCTTTATCTCCCTTCGCTTCGCTTCGCGGGGGTAGAGCTTCGAGAAGCCCGCGCCAAGGCGCCCCCCTCCCCCTTTGTTTGGTGAGCATTGGGGCTGAATCGCTCGCGGTTTTTACCCGGCGTCGTCCCCTCTCTCTCTCTCTCTCTCTCTCGTTCTTCCGCCAGGGCTATGCTGAAGGGTTTCCCCCTCCATCGCGTGCATTGCTCTGTCTTTCACCAGGCTTGAGGAGGCGCCCCGGTGGGACACGCCCGATGGTTGGCAGTACGCACGGTATTGCATGCGACAGGCGCATTGCTCCCTCTATCTCTCTCCCTCTCTGGTACTTCGACACTGAGGCTGGGCTGAAGCCCGTCTGTTCACCAATTAAACCCTCGATTGATCTTAGACCTCGACACGGCATCGCCAGCACGTTTCCAAAGACAAACATGAGCAAACACGCGCACGCATATCTGCAACGGGCAACCGCAGCCACACACCGCCGAAAGCATCGAAGACGAAGAGTTCACACACCGCCGAAAGCATCGAAGACGAAGAGTTCCGTTCCGTTTCTGGCGGTCGAGCAAGGTTCAAGCACTGAGTTTTCTGAGATGTGCACGACCCCTTGCGCACCCAGTGGCACTGTGCAAACCCATGCAAACAAATCCTTCCGGCTTCGATCAACGAACGAGTCATGGTGGTATACAAATGGCAATTGTGCTGGATCCGCATGTGACGAGGCTTGATGCTTGCAAGAGTTCACTGCCCAGCCAAGACACGGCGCGCTATGCCGGTATTGCCTTCCATCCTGGGACAAACGAGACAAAAACACGAGGTATTATTTTCGCATGCGATAGTGATTGTGGTTGAAGGGCATGGGTCGGGAGATTCCGACATGTTTCAGGCATGGCCCGCTACGCTGTCTGTAGCTGGAGTGCCAACCCTGAAACCGCAACAGTCAAATGCCGCAGAAGGGGATCCACTATCCACGGCTTCGCCAAGGTGGGATGGTTAGGCTTAGGGGTGTTAGGGTTTAGAGCCTCGTATCTTACTAGGGGACTGTGCAACATGTTCGTATGGACGGTAAACGCTTCATGAGGGAATAGGAATAATGCTTCGGAGTTCCGTTTCGCAAACGATTGCCTGCATGCTATGCCTCGATCCGTATATTTGCAAAGTCAGACAAGCAGCGACGACGTCTACCCTACCGGCACTACCAGTAAGAACTA